GGAAGGATTTCTGCCTCACATCTCATCTCCATCTCCCCTCCTCCAGCTTCAGGCCATTCCCCCTTGTCCTGTCACTCCCTGCCCTTGTCACCAGCCCCTCTCCAGCTTTCCTGGAGCCCCTGTAGGGACTGGAAGGGGCTCTGAGGTCTCCCCGCAGCCTTCTCTTCTCCAGGCTGAACAAGCCCAACTCTCTCAGCCTGTCTCCATAGCAGAGGTGCTCCAGCCCTCGCATCATCTCTGTGGCCTCCAACAGCTCCATGTCCTTCTTGTGCTGGGGACCCCCGAGCTGGACGCAGTACTGCAGGGGGGGTCTCACCAGAGCAGAGCAGAGGGGCAGAATCCCTTCCTTTGACCTGCTGGTCATGCTGCTGGACACGCAGCTCAGGACACGGTTGGCTTTCTGGGCTGCAAGTGCACATTGCCAGGTCATGTTGAGCTTCTCATCCACCAACACCACGGAGGAATGCACATGGATAGTCTGAGACAAACCAAGCAGCTTTTCATCCTGGTGTACTTTCCTCTGTCCCCTTTAGAGCCTTACTCATGATCCAATAATAAGCCTATAAATTGCAAATCAGACCATTCCTCTAACCAGTCCGAGTCAATCCTTGTTTTCCTGTGAAAAAAACTTAAGGGTTCCTAAATCACTGTTCAGGTAAGAACCTTAGTTCAAAGATATGCTTCTCCAATTGCATAATTTAAAGCTATGCACTTGGAATTTTATCATATCAGTGCTAAAGAAACCTGTTTGCCAAGATGAAGATGAAACAATTTTATCCGTAGGTTAAAACCAGAAGTTTTTCTACTGACAGTCAGACCTTCTGTTAACTCTAACCCCTGCTTCTCCCACTGCCTCACCTTGTCTGCAGGTCTCAATTTCAGGCTCCTTCAGGTGGGAGAGGCAGATGAGAATAGCCTTGCTAATATACTGCTGCTGCTCAGGTGGAGAGTGTTTCACAGCACTGCTGCTGCCCCAGGTCTCCAACAGTTCCTGCAGCACCTGAAGCAGAGAACTCAAGTGGGCTTGGAACAGATCTTTTCCATACACAAGGAATGGTTTGTTTTGGTTTTTTTAAGCACATTTTTGAAACCTGCTTTCATACAGCACATTGTACATTCTGATGGCCCTTTGGTCTTCATGCTTACCAGTGAACTTTACTCTCCCTACAAATGGAGCTTTGTATTTCAGGTCCCAAAACATACTGCGTTTGACCAACTGAGAACTCCACACCACCTCCATTTAATATATTGTTAAATACGAGGGGGTTCTTTTAAATAAAAGTGGTCAATATTATATGCAGAGCAACACGTATTGTCAAGAACGAGTATGATGTTATATGGTTTTATGGTTTTAGTCCAATCTTATATAACTGCCAGCACTTCCAGATAATTAGAATAACAGAACATGCAACCAATGCAAAAAAAAAAAAAAAAAATTTTGACACAACCGTAGAGATTTCTAGAGATACAAATTTCCTAGAACTTCGATCACACTGCTGACTTAAAAAGCATCTGCATCCCCACTGAGGAAAAGGTAGATGAGAAAGATTCTGAAGCATCAATGCTTTGGCACGCAGACAGCTCTCAACCAACTTCATCACTAGCTGCCATCTGCCCAGCCACACAAATAGGGGATGACAGAGGAAGCTGAGAAGGATGGAGGACATGGGACATCTGTCAGAATCCAAGCCTCAGTAGTTTTGCTACTTGGAAGACAACTTAATAATTAAATATGAAAAACTAATGCCAGCAGTGCAGAAAGTCTTGGATCTGTATATCAAATTTACCTGTGATATGGTAGGGCTTCCCTCACTCTCATGAGCAGCAACAAAAGTGTCTTAGACAAGTGCCAAAACTGTACACAGACATGCACACTCACACAATAGAATTTTTTCCATCAGATAACTCACCAACAATGCTACTTAACCTTACTTTGATCAATAAGGCACGCCGCAGGCCATCCAGGGACAGATAGCCAAGGAGGTTCTGTAGCACTGCAGTCTGCAATGAAAACCACGAGTCTTGCTTTAACTGGGCACAAAATTGTCATCCAGCAATGACAAGTGTGTATTTTCACTATGTTAAACTTTTCATTCTAAGGGACTGGTTGACAACATTCAGAGACAGAGAAGTACGCACATTTAAAAAACCATCAAAACACACACACACATGCAGTTGCTAATGAAATACACGGAAAAACAGGACAGGAATGCAGCATAGTATTTTTACCATCAAAACCCTACAGCACCGTCCCAAGCAAACATGGAACACCAAGTCCAGAGAACATCCCTCACAAGAACATCACAACCCACAGGACCCTTCCTAGCACCTTGTGACAAACTTATGTGCACAGGAAAAAAAAAAAAAAATCCCAGCCCTTGTCTCATCTCTTCAATCTAATTCTTATCCCTGAGGGTGGCTCATGGCTTTCTCAGTCTCTTCTTTCAGATTCTACATTATCTAGATGTTTCCAGCTCCCCAGAACTCTGAAATTATGTGCAAATAACCATTTGGTTCTAGAGAAAGAGTACAGTAATTCTGCTAATCACCATCAACCCTGAGAGAGCACATGAATCCCATGATTTCAAAGCAACTGTTTATCACTCCCTCTTCAGTGCGTTCAGCTGAGGGGATGTAAGTGAACAGCTGCACAGCTCAGGTACAGGTGGAGAGACTGAGGGCTGATTTCAGAATGAAAAGTTAAATCTTACTCAAGAGGACCTGGAGCTCAGCTAAAAACATTGGCGCTTGGGAAAAACAGGCGCTACCGTACCGCTGTTCAATGCAGAGTCCTTACCGTGTGGCCATACTGCAAGAGCAGCAGCTTCTGTGTCACAACAAACTGAGCTTTCTTGTTTTTCACAACCAGGTTCCCCAGCAACCTAGACAAGACATCTGCCCTAGCAAGAGAGGACAATAGCAACACATTAGGAATCCATGAATTACTGTCATGCTGCCACTAATCACAGGAAATTCTGCCAGCAGCTATTTGCAACAAAGTCTCTAAACACCTCTAAACTTAAAGAGTGAGTCAGTAACTGCAAAGAATGTTTTCACTTGCTTTTTTCACTGCATGTCATGATGCAGATCTTTAAGGAATGGTGCAGGCTCTACCTGAGAGGGAACAAGCAGCTACTTAACCCCTACAGCCTCTCAGGGCATGGCACTGTAAGAAACCGCCTACACAAACGCACACACACGCCAGCATCTTTCAAAAACCGATTCTGCAAGTATTTGCGAAAAAATAACAGCCTTTGCTCTGGATCAGGAAGCAGAGTTCTTACCCGGGTGTTCTCTGCACAAAACCAAGGACCACGGCTTCCATCCAGCGGTCTGGCACACACTCAACCAATCGCCAGCATATTCTTTGCCAAATGCAGTCTGACTTGGTGAGATCGATTAGACGGGGTACCAAAATGCTCAGAATTTCCTCTGAAGTGGAAGAGAAAACAGGTAAATACACCAGATGGACAGAACTGGTGCAATGGTACCCAAGGTCAGACTGCAAATTTCAAGATCCTTACAAGATGAAGAAAAATGAAGTACAGCTTGCAGTTCTAAATTGTTCCTGTGGTAAGAACTAAGCTAAACAGCCTAAGGAACTTGCAAATATTCCTCATCACAGTAAACAGCTAGAAAATCTTTCCTCTTCTTCCCCATCCCTGTTAACTACTTCTGCATTCAGTGGATTCAAAGTCATAAGCAAAGCCAGACTGAAGGCTACTCACACGAGAAGGTTATTACACACGGGCAGTGACTTATGCTGGTATTTACAAGGTACCTTCAGACCACTGGAGGAGCATTTAATAGTTATGCCCCAAATGGCAGGATAAGAAGGCTAATAATCTCATCAATTTTTGAGAGAACAGACCACATTCATGTGAGCTGACAGAAAAGCATCGACATCTATCAGACACGTAGTTGAGTAGCCCCAGAAAGCAGAGAGCAGCCTGTACAGTCCAACTCACAAACCCCCAAAGCATTAACTGGTCAGTCTCCCACTCCCCCTGTTCATCATCATCATCAGAGTTACCCTTCCATACCAACACAGGAAAACGGACTTTCCCCTTCCCCAAAACAGGATTGTAAAACACTCACTTTGTCTCCCATGAACGCACACCTTCCCCAGGATATGGGAAACAAAAGAGATCGAGCAATCCAAGCCACCTGGGATAAAACAGATACAAGCTTAACAGGAGCATCACCAGCATCCTCCAAACCACCTTCAGAAGGAGGTGCACACAATTCTACAAGTATTGAAGTCCAAAAACACAGATTAACTTTTGCTCTTCAAGCATCATGTCTTCCTCCCTCCACCATGTGCCTTCAGGCACAAAACAGCACTCAGAATTATCTAGACACAGTGAGAGTAAGAAGACTAAAGTAGCTCAGTCCCACTTTTCCACAATGGTACCAAAGCCACTAGTTCATTCAGTACTATTTAAATCTGCCATACAATTACTTCAGCACAGACCAAGTGACAACAATTAAGCTTTGGCAATAGATGACGCTATTTAACAGCTTGTAGGATTGCAGCTTTCAGTAGGATTTTAAAAAGCCTCAGCAATCTTCCTCATTCCTGGTATCTGATGCTTTTAAGCACAATGAACTTCAGCCTGAAGGATGAACGTCAGGCTCTATAATACCCATTATCCGTATTTCAAGCATCAGCCAAGGGGGTCCATGCACAGAACAAGTCTTCAAAAGAGCCGTCTCTATAGTAGAGTCCTCCTGCAATCTTACCTCTTAGAGAATCAGAGATCTTCTGCAGCACCTGGATAATTGCACCACCCAAGAGAGGAAAGTAGTTCTGTGGGAAGAACACTGGTGGGTTTTTCCCCTGGAGTTTGTTGCTCACGTGATCAGGCAAACACACAATCTTGTTGAGCAGGGCCTCGTGCAGCTCAGGTGAGCCAGCCTGCGCTTGCTGCTGACAGACCTCCCACATCAGAGCTGAAATCCGGCCCTCCCGCAGGAACTGCTCCAGTACCTCTACGACCTCCCTCGGATGAAAGCTAGGACTGGAAGAAAGTAACTGGAATTAAGTCCCTGTCCCTTTTAAGTGATAAAAAAAAGATGTGCACGCTATTGGTTTTCTGTTGTGGTCTCACTGCTATAACACTGCTGCTCAATCACACAGAATTTTAATCAAAATCAGATTAAAATCAGAGGGATTTTAATCCCTTTGTATCTCTGCAGTTTCCTTGGCTCATAACATTTCAGGATATTCAGTAAGCACAACGGAATGAACCGAGCGACCTCTGCGGCAAACATCAGTACTGCACGAGGGTTCTGAAACGACGGGATTCGGGGGACCGAGGGCAGAGCAAGGCCTCCCCACGCTCACTCATCTCCGTCCACCCGCACACTCACGGGGCATCCTCA